AATTTCGTCAAGGCATTTCGGTATGTTTTATGATTCTAAGTATAAAAATACGGTGTGTGTATGTGTGTTAAGACATTTTTATATTCTTGTGAATTTTTCAGGTCTTTTGGAAAAAGCGAAAGTGACGATGAAACTGAAGAACTTCAGGATATTAATGAGTTATTAATTATGGGAGATGCAGAAAATATAGAGGATTTTATTAGTCTTCCACCGCATCATCGATGTGTCAGTCATACATTAAATCTCATCGCGGTAAAAGATACCGAAACAGCATTGGAGAACGACTTACAGTATAAGAAAATATATAGAACAACTTTCGCAAAATTGACAAAGTTATGGAATAAACAAAACCAATCAACTCAAGTGGCTGACAGAATTAAAGAAGCATGTGACGTATATTTAAAAACTCCGGTTATCACAAGGTAAAAAATTTATATTTTATCTATTTATTAATTTATAAAAATAAGTTCTTTTTTTAAAATATTATATTATTTAAATTAAAATATAAATAAAATAAAAATGATTTATATTTAATAAAATTTCCATTATTGGTTATTATTAATTGTATTTTGAATATATTTTGGATATTTTAAAAAACACGGAATTAACCTTCGCTAAAGTATTATATATATACTTTCATTTTGTAACTAATCAAAGTAATTTTTATTCTAAGATTTTAAAGTTAATTTAACGAATTTTTTCAAATTAATAACCATGTCAAATTTGCACCAAAATTGTATGTACATAAATAATATGTATTTTTTTATTTATTTATTACTTTTTATAATTAATTTTTTTATTAACATATTTTACTAAAGTGTAAAAAATATCGGAAAATTTATTTTTACATCTATTCAATTTCTTTTTGTAGTAATTACATTTTTTTTAAGTTTATTTGTTTTTTATCTTAATAGGTGGAATTCTACATTTGACTCTGTATGTCAGTTAGTATCTCTCTTAAAAACTAAATCTGATAAAATAAATCAGTGTTTTGATTTCTGCAATTTGCAGAGGTTAACAGATAATGAAATAAAATTTTTAGAAGATTATTGCCAGGTAAATTAAAAAAAATTATTTAGTAGAATGTGCGTGATATATAAGCATTTAAAATTTTTAAATTTCAATTAGGTAATGGAACCTTTGGCTCGTGCGTTAGATATTCTACAAAGCGATTTGGGGATGTATATGGGCTACCTATTACCAGTTTTGAATACCTTACAACAAAAAGAACAGAGTTTTATTGAAAATGAACTTAACTGTCATTCATTAATTAACGCTATTCTATCGGGTTTAGATAAAAGGTAATTTGTTAACCTTAGGGCTTAGGTATACACATTGGAATCCTCGGGATCCCAATACAACTTTCTAAATTGGGATTTTTCGCGTTTCTCTTTTTTTTTATCCAGTATATTTTATTAATTGAAATATATCCATATTTGCTGGAGTTACGATAAAAAGTATGAATGGGATATCTTGGGACCTCAATGTGTACTTTATGTAGGCAAAAAGGAAATGTCTATAGGATTATATGATTGTTAATTTAATATATTTGATTCTAAATAATAAAATAGTATTTATTTGTAAATTGTAATAGAAAATATTGCTTGTACTGTATTTAATTTAATATTAATGTATTTAATTTTAATTTATAGATTCTCCGTAATGTTTGAAAGGAAAGATTTACTTATTGCAAGTTGTCTACACCCAAAGTTTAAATTAAATTGGTTAACCGGAGAGAGAAGAAAGTATGCTGAAAGTTGTTTACAACAGTTATTCGGAATCCAATCGAAAGATAATTCTCCAGATATGAAAGATACAACTGATGAACACGATGATTTTTTCGAATTTCATCGGCAATCGAATGAATCTATCGAAGAGGAATTACAACGATTTCTAAGATCAAAAAAATCTAATATTGAAATGCTACATGAATATCCAAAGATTAAAAAACTCTTTATTAAATATAACACCGCACTCCCTAGTAGTGCTTCTGTAGAAAGATTATTCAGCGTGGGAGGCACTGTATTAAAACCGCAAAGAAGTCATCTTAACGATGATTCTATGGAGCATCAGTTACTTTTGAAAATTAATAAATCATTTTGGTGAAATTCAAAAAATATTCTTTTGAATTATATGTTTTGTTTAACAATTTTGTATTAATATATTTAATTAGTTTTATTCATTTTTTATAGGTTGAATTCGTAACATTTTGGAAGATATTTATTTTATAATTTAGCGCAACAAACTGTTTTGTATTTTTATAATTTTATTAACACTATTAGTTTTTCGTTTTTCAATTAGATATTATATGTATATGTTTTGTGTTACAATAAAAGGTAGGGAAGTATCCCCTTCCTTATAAAAGTGATTTTTTCTTTAAAGTAAGTAATTTTGTTTTGCAAATTTTGAGTCATAATTTCTTTCATAAAAAGTTCTTAAAAATTGGTAACTTCGTTAAAGATAACTTTTTAAGAAATTACTTGTGATTGTAATGTATTGGATACATAACAAAATTTAATATATTCGCAAACGTTAATAAAATAAATACTAACTGGAAATTATATATATTTAATATATTTTCAATCTTATTCCTTTAAAAAATATAATTTTATGATACTACATATATTTATTGTGGAAATTTATATTACATTTTATTAATCTAAAAAAAGTAACGAAAAAGTAACGATTCGTTACTTTTTTAATAACGGTAACGGTAACGAGTTACTTTTTTAAATCAGTAACGAATAACGATAACGAGTTACTTTTCAGAAAAAAGAACGGTAACGATAACGAGTTACTTTTATAAAGTAACTTTCCCAACCTTGTGCTGGAGTCATGGAGCTGTTTCGAGAAGCAATCTTAAAAAGATTCACAAGAAAAATTCTCTATAATGTTACCATACAACGGGTGGAAGCACGTAAGTGGTTATCGTACAAGGAATCTTTTCTGGAATACGCAATGGATAAGCTCACGCTTATTCACAACTTGAATTTATCGCCTGACAGCACGATACATTTGCTGATCAGCGGCATCGGTAGTAGATCATTAAGAGAAATCGCGGCTTCGTTAAAATCGGAATCAATAGACGCTTTTCTGGATTCGATGCATCAAATCACGTCAGTATCAATGGTCGCGGAGAAGAAGATTCACAGCGAGTCAAAATTCATTAAAGCAAAGAATCCGGCCCAGACGCCCGATACCCCCGCGGCTAGCGATTTGGTAAAGCGATCCGGCAAAAGTGGAATTTCTTGCAATTATTACAGGCACCAGGGGCACGTCCGAGCAGACTGCTACAAGCTCAAACGCAAGGAGCAGGCCCAATAGGCATCATCCTCGGGGTTAGCCGCGATGGCAGCAATGGCATCGGAGGTCGAAGACAGCGATGTGGAGAGCACGGTAGCCCTGATCCAGCCTCACGGTAGGAACATTCAGATCGAGAATTTTCCATTAAAAATCGTTAACATTAATGGTAAAATTTGTAAACTATCTGCGTTAGTGGACACGGGTAGTCCGATCTCATTTATTAAACCATCAGTATTTGTCGATTTTTGAGTCACGCGAGAGAATCTCTGTCGCCATCGAACCGTATGTATAGAGCACTAAATAATCAGTCAGTCGCGTTAGAAGGATCATTGAAAACCACCGTTAGACTTCCTTCGGTTATATTACGTGGTTGCGGAAATTTACTAATGAAGTTCAGCGATTCCTGGGTCTCGCTAATTATTTTCGTAAATTTATCAAAGAGTTTTCTGTTAAGGTTAAACCTCTTCGCGACTTATTACGAAAATCGGTCGACTTTAATTTTGACAAAAATTGCATGCAGGCATTCGAAAACATAAAACGCGAATTAACCTCTCGTCCAGTCTTATGCCTATACAACCCCGCCGCGGAAACGCAACTGCACACTGACGCTAGCGTAAACGGTCTCGGTGGAATATTACTACAAAAGCAAACGTCGGGTAATTTCCGCTCGGTAGCATATTTCAGCCTATCCACAAATCGAGTCGAAAAAAATTATCATAGTTTCGAGTTAGAAATGTTAGCAATTGTCCGGGCTATAGAGCGCTTCCACTACTATCTTTATGGAGTTGAATTCACAATTGTGACTGACTGCAACGCGCTTGTCCTCGCGGTCAATAAAGCTAATCTGAACCCTAGAATTGCTCGCTGGACGCTGGCTTTACAAAATTATAAATTTAAAATCTTGCATCGTAACGGTCAAAAAATGGCTCACGTCGACGCACTGAGCCGCGCCATCAACTACATCGAATCCTTACCTTTAGAGAGAGAGCTCGAACTTAAACAATTACAAGATGCCCGGCTAAAAACGATTGCGACCGAACTCGAATTCGACGAAAATGACCGCTTCGAAATTATCGACGGGCTCGTATACAAAAAAGGGGCGGATCGCTCCCGGTTTGCGGTACCGGAATCTATGGTTTCAAACATCATCCGTATTTACCACGATGAAATGGCGCATTGTGGAATCGAGAAGACACTCAAAGGCATTACTAATACATATTGGTTGGTAATACAGATTGGTTGGCAAACATGAGGAAAAGAATCGTAGAGCACATAGATAATTGCGTCACCTGTCTGTCAGCAAACACCTCGTCGCACTCTCGCGAAGGCGAAATGCAACCGGTGACGACCCCGACAAGTCCATTCGAAATATTACATATAGACCACTTTGGTCCGGTGCAGCAAACTGAACGCGGCTTTAAACACATTCTGGTAGTAATAGACGCCTTCTCGAGATTCACGTGGCTGTTTCCAACAAAAACGACTAACACAAAAGAAGTAATCAAAAATTTTGAATTCTTGTTCAACACATTCGGAAATCCGAAAGAAATTGTCACCGACCGCGGGACCGCATTTAGCTCAAACGAATTTTCTAATCATTTGCAAACGCTACGGATTAAACATCGGCAGGTGGCGGTTGCCTCTTCGTGGGCTAACGGCCTTGCTGAGCGGGTTAACCGTTCCTTAAAATCTTCATTGAAAAAATTAATAACAACCTCTACCGAATGGAAATCTCAATTAAGTAAAGCTCAATATGTACTGAATAATACGTTCCACAAGTCGTTAGAGAACACGCCATCAAAATTACTGTTGGGTTACGTCGTAACCATACAGACAAAATCCTTACCGATCTTATCGATCAACTCACGAACATTGATTCCGAAATAGAGAACAAAAGGAACCAAAATAGAAATATCGCACTCCAAACCACAGAAAAAATTTGCAAGTATAACAAACAGTACTACGACAGCAAGCATGTAACGCCAACGAAGTATAATTCAGGCGACTACGTTATGATACGCGATCTGCACACTAAACCGAGACAAAGTTCTAAATTTAAATCGGCCTATAAAGGACCGTACATGGTAGCCCGTGTATTAAACAATAATCGATACGTGATTCAGGATATACCGGGCTTTAACATAGCGGCGCGCCTACGATGCGATTCTCTCTTCAGACAAACTGAAACCATGGGTAAAACCCGCACCACTGTAAATATAGATCATAAGCCAAAATTTTTTGTTTGTTTGTTTGTTTTATGTAGTAATTCAGCTATAAGAGCAAGTATGAGGTGTAAATGAAATCACACCCGCGTGAATTACTGATTATAATTTCCTAAAGGCTAATTTTGATTAAAGATTGTATAATCCAGAAGAGGAAACCATTGATCATTACGCGTTCATAGCTCTGTTTTCTAAGTAAGAATCACTTTGTAGCGTTAGATAATCTAGTTATAAGCACTCTAAAACAATATCGATTGTAACGAATAAAGTTAACCACCGTAGTGAATAAGTCTATGTGATAAGCGAGAAGTTACATTCGGGCCGAATGTCGTTTCAGTATGGCCGAGCTGTAAGAAATTTCTATCCCGCACAACGGGCAAGGGCACTTAAAGCAGTGCCGTACACCGACGTCAGCGCGGGTGACAATAGGGCAGCGATCACGCACATTAAGCGTGATCATCTCGATCGCACAGCGTGGTAGCAGCGGCGCGCGCACCACGGTACGCACGGACAAAACCGGCGACCACGGGAAGCGAAGCGCCTTTTTCGCGCGGAGACTATTACGAGCGACTTTTTCTGTACAGTGCCTGTGAAAAATAAACGAATGTATTTGTGTTAACTCTGCATCTATTCTGACTTTGATTTTGTTCGCGCCTCCCTTTCGTCGCAACCTGACGCGACCAAAGAGCCTTAAGGCCCCTTACAATAGGGAGTAAAGCAACTATAGAATTTTTAAGGATTTTTAATTGTTTATTTGATATGATGAATGCCAGAAATTATCAAGGAAAGAATTTTAAATCTCCTATGTCTCCACAAAATTTATTACATTTTAAAGAAGTTTTTTTATCACTTCGAGTATATATTATATATCCAAAGTTTAAAAATAAACGATGTTAACATTTTTAACGATAAAAAAAAGTTTGCTTTTGGTTTCATTATTAATACTTGTAGTTTTTATAATTTAGCATTAGATCTTTTTGCTGAAAAAGTTTTACGTTATTTTTTACCGTATAAGTGTTCACAAAATCATTTAGAATTGACGTTTTCTTGTATTAGATCGTGGCGGCTGGAATAATAATCCAAATTGTTTGCAATTGAAATGGGTTCTTCGGCAATTATTTTTTAAAAACAGTATTAAGCCTAGTATTAACGCTAATTGTTGTGGAGAAGAAAGCGAATCACTTTCTATTTTCAAATTTCGTAAAGAAGAAAGATCAATTTCTGTGTCATATCATAATGAAGATCTCAAAAAGATTTAGAAGAAAATGACAAATTTTTAACATCTCTTTTTGATCTCATGGAAAATGTACAGATAAGTTTTTTAGATAATAACATTCTCTATTATATTACAGGAAGTATAGTTCATAAATTTCTATTAAAAATTGAATGTAAATATTGTCATGAGATGCTATTAAGAAAAACTAATAATGTAAAGCATTGTTATCAACTGGATTAATTCTGATAAAGAAATTAATAAAATTCTTCTACTACTTTTACGTTTACTACTTTTGTTAATAAAGGAAAACTTTGTTTCATCTTGAACTACTTATAAAATTATTTTAAATGCAAAAAAAGCTTTTTTAAGTGAAGTC